GTAGAGTAAATGCACAAGGAAACGTTGCTGAGAGCAATGAATAAGAGTTATGCAAACTGGTTTATCAAAAGCTTACTTTATAGTAGAAAAACAGTCTCATAGTCTTTAAACAAATTCCAAGTCTTTGCCATTTAAATCAGTCCAGTAGTTACAGAATCTTCTAACCCAACAAACAGTAGTTGGTTAGAATAACAAACTCACTCTGGTTCACAAACCATGATGGTAGCAGATCCATCAAACGATAATTACAGATAACTCCTCTCAATGGTAGCTTATCATAGCAGCTTCATCATCAAACTGAATACGTTACAATACCTTGCTTAAATACTCTCACAACCAGTCATTACCTAATTACAGCATGACTCAGCATTACAATGAATACCTTTAAAGTAACATAATACATTTACAGATTAAAGTTACAGTACACATATATTGCCTGGACAACTAGTTAGGCTCAAACCACATCCTAACAAATATTCTTCAATGGATTTTTTTCTAGATTTGCTACATTTAGGTTAATTAATATTAATGGAGGATGTGGACAAATAAGTTGAAAGGATGTCAATAACTTATTGTATACAAGCCCAGTTGGGTTTATAAAAGTTAACAGACTGAATTGGATGATGGAAGTTAAAATTATGTATTACATATTTATGATAGGTTACTTTAAAGACATCTGTAGTAACAACCTTTCAAACTGGTTTCAAATCTGATTTTGGTTTTGAAAGATCCTTCATAATTCTTTATAATGAGAATTGAATAGTGGCTCTTGAGCCTGCTGTAAACAACATGGTTGAACCTTCAGGAAATTCACTAGTCTTCAACACTATGTTGTAGGACTTCTAGGATTAAGTTAGTTAGAGATTGAGAGTCCATTCTCTTTTTCATCAATTTCCAAATGAATTCCAATTCTTGAATCATTTCCTGGACATATTTTCCATTTGTTTCTAATTGATTACTCATATTTGGTAATCAACCTAACAAGCCTTGGTCTGGAACTAGAATATCAGAAGGACCATTTCTTCCGTGTGAATTTTTTTTTTTTTTTTTGGAGACCTGTAGCCATTTAGAGTGGATGGATCCAAGAGGTATTGCTATTTTATAAGGTTTTATCTTGAAAACACTGATAGAACTCCAATGAAGATTGGCTTTCTTATTTAGCTTTTTTACAATAGATGGCATTTAATTCACCTTGATCATGTAAAAAAAAAGCTAATAGCATCTTGAGTAAGACTTGAGTGAGAGCTTAGAAAGAAATTCCAGAACTGAGGGCTAGAATGGGACATTGAAAAAAAATACCAGAAGAATGCAATGACAAGCACTTGGATATTGTGGGGAAAAACTCAGGAAATTGAGACACTTTGCTTTGTTTTAAACGGGATATGACTGTGGACTGGATTGCAATTAACCTGTGATACGTCGGGAGATAATCTCAAGAAGGGTGTAGGATCAGGAGAAAAACATTGGTTTAATGTAAAATTAATTAAAATTAAGTATTTAATTATGCAGAAGCTCCTTTTAAAGGAAACAGGTGTTTATGGCTTTGCCCTAAAATCTTACATGATAAGCATAAACCAGCCAACCCACGTTATGATTTATCACGGTGTTAACCCCCGCTCATGAATTGAATAAAAGTGTAGCCATAGTCTAGTCAGAGTAGATTAGGATGTGATTATAGGTAGTCCTTGACTAAAGATCACAATTGAGCTCAAAATTTCTGTTAAGTGAGACAGTAGTTAAGCAAGTTTTGCCCCATTTTATGATCTTTCTTGCCACAGTTAAGTGAATCACTGAAGTTGATTAGTTAGTAATATGGTTGTTAACCGCATCTAGCTTTCTCATTGATTGCTTGTCAGAAGGTTGTATGAAGTGATCATATGACCTTGGGACAGCACAATGGTCAAAAATACAAAACAGTTGCCATGATCATGGGAATGCTACAAGGGTCATAAACTGAAAAACAGTCATAAGTCACATTTTTCAGTGCCATTGTAACAACTCACTAAAGGAACTGTTGTAAGTTGAGAACTACCTATATTGCTTCCTGTGTCATGTCACTGAATTGGAAACATCTCTGAATTAAATGGACTTTGGTCAGATATTGGCAAAGTATCAGGAATTTGTGTGTTACATTTAGATTAAGGTGACCAGACGTCCCGCTTTTGGCGGGACAGTCCCGCTTTTTAGCAATTTGTCCCGCGTCCCGCGGCGTTTCAAAAAAGTCCCGATTTTTCATTCTGCCTCCTCAGTCCCGCTGCCTCTTGAGCCCCAGCTGATGGCTAGAAGAAAAAAAAACTGTTTAAACTCTTGCCCGGGGCTTCAAAGGGCCGCCCTACAGGCAATCAGTGTAAAGAGGTTTTTTTTCCCCTAGCTAAGCTGCAGAAACGAAACCAAAACCAGGATCTTTGGTGGAACGTGACAAAATGAGGCAGAGAGAGATTTATTTTTATTTTTCCTCCCCAAAAAAGGTAGGTGAAAAACTGCAAACAATGGGAAATTTAGGAGGAGAGTTCAAGATTTTAAAACACAAAAGAAAAAAAAGCTGTATTTAACTAGGGAATTGTAATAATTGAATTGAGATACTATTAATTGTATATTGTGTTGAAAGCAGAAATGTTTAAGTTGTGGTTCAGAGGAATATATGGAGGAAATTATTTGGTTTATTATTATTGGTAAATATAATTAATTGATTTGTAAGAAATTGGATTGCATGGAAATAATTGGAATATTCATGTTCATATTGATTAATATACAAAAAAGATAGTTTTATAACTAATTGATTTATATTAAAATGTTGAATTTGTATTAAACAACTGTATTACATAATTACATAATTAAACAATGTGAGGATGGATATAAAAATAGATGACAATGGAAAGGGGTATAATATAGAATAGAAGGGAAAAATTGAATTTGATTAAGATTAGAGATGAGGATGAAGGGTAATATTGGTTTTTTAAAAAAAATAGATGAGGAATAAATATGGCAAAAAGGAAATATGGAAGTTGTAAATTTAATTGAAGTGACTAAACACTGTTTAAATTTGTGAACCGGCCAAATACTCTGTTCAAAGAAAATAAATTGTATGTTTGTATGTGTGTTTCTAATTACTGCTATTTATTCATATTTGTTCTCTTTTATTCTTTAAAGTTTAACCATTCATTCTTTATCTTAATATCTTTATATTTGTTTGGGGTTGGCTTTCTTCCCTTTCATCTTTTTTATTGTACAGCAATCTTTCTCCTCAAACCTACCACCTCTCTCTTTTCTTTCCTTCTTACTTTCTCTTCCCCCCCTCTTCTTCTCCTCCCTACTTCCTCTTCCTTTCTCCTTCTCCTCCTCTCTTCCTCCCTCTCTTAACCATCACTCCTACTCTAATTTCCCTTCCCTTCCTTCATCCCTCTCTATTGCTGTATCCTTTTATGCATATGGACTACTCAGAGGGCTGAAAAAGTTATTTTTGACTGGTCCTCGCACTTTTGACCAGTCATCGAACTTACGACTGTCTTCACATTTTATGTTTTTTGCCCTATCTTATCACCATGGTGAAGAGAAGCAGTTGTGAAATGAGTGACATGGTTGTTAAGGATGCTGCATGGGCATAAATGTGAGGATGGTCATAAGTGTGAGGACCAGTCAAAAGTGCGAGGACCTGTCAGAAATGACTTTTTTCAGCCCTCTGGTTAGTCCTTTTGTGCATATGGACTACTCAGAGGGCTGAAAAAGTTATTTTTGATTGATCCTCGCACTTTTGTCCAGTCCTCAAACTTACGACTGTCCTCACATTTTACATTTTTGCCCTATCTTGTCATCATGGTGAAGAGAAGCAGTTGTGAAATGAGTGACATGGTTGTTAAGAATGCTGCACGGGCATAAATGTGAGGATGGTCATAAGTGTGAGGACCAGTCAAAAGTGCGAGGACCTGCCAGAAATGATTTTTTCAGCCCTCTGGTTAGTCCTTTTGTGCATATGGACTACTCAGAGGGCTGAAAAAGTTATTTTTGAGTGGTCCTCACACTTTTGACCAGTCCTCGAACTTACGACTGTCACATTTTACGTTTTTGCCCTATCTTGTCACCATGGTGAAGAGAAGCAGTTGTGAAATGAGTGACATGGTTGTTAAGAATACTGCACGGGCATAAATGTGAGGATGGTCATAAGTGTGAGGACCAGTCAAAAGTGTGAGGACCTGTCAGAAATGACTTTTCAGCCCTCTGAGTAATCCCTATACACATAGCCATGGCCACCCGGTCACATGACCAGCTAGCCACGCCCACCCCAGTCACATGGCCTCCAAGCCACGCCCACACAATAAGCCACGCCCACAATGGTGTCCTTCTTACCAATGTTAAAATCTGTTCACCTTACCCTATCACATAGCCATGGCCACCCGGTCACATGACCAGCTAGCCACGCCCACAAAATAAGCCACGCCCACAATGTCCCTCTTTACCAATGTTAAAATCTGGTCACCTTAATTTAGATGGAATCATACCTAGACCAAACTTATGGGGGGGGGGAGAATTGATTTTATTTATTTATTTATTTATTTGTCAAGCATATATAAGATAACAGGTAAAAGTATAAACATAATTTGAATACATGAAAAGAGTAAGTAAAAAGGATTAGGACAGGGACGGTAGGCACGCTGGTGCACATGCACCATAATTATGATTCTACTGAATGATTATGATTCTACTCTATAAATTTCAATATGGGTTCTATGGATTCTCAGTTGCCGCAACTGAAGACAAAGGGAAAGCCTAAAGTAAAGTTTTGCTGGCGGACATGTACTTATAAAGTCCTGGAAACACGTACCCTTTCCTTCCGCCCCGTCCTGGGACGGCGGCGGTCTCTTTCGGCTCTATGCTCATATTTGGAGCTGATTGAGCAGCTGCCGCCCAAGGAATTTCCCGTCATGCCTTTTGGAGAGGCTGCTTGGCCTGTCCTTTTGCTGGACCGTGGGGGTGGAGGGCGCCTTTGGCCCGAGGCGGCTGCGGGAACAGTAGCTACCTTTTCTCCTGCCAAGGCTCGACTGTTTTATTTTTCTGCCTCGCCTCTCCATGCGCGCCGAGCTTCCCTTGCTCCTGAATTTATTCTGCGCGGCGGCAGCTCTTACGCAGATACCAGGTAGGGGAGCCGTAGTCCCTCGCAAAGGCAAGGTTGTCCTGCCGTCTCTTTATTCGGATTTCTAGATTGTTCGATCCGGCCTGCGGTGAGTTGAAAATTAAAGGGCGATGGCTTGGTGCAGGCGCTTTGTGGCAGGGATGAGCAAGGAAGAAAAAAGGTGGAGGAGGACTTCTACTGCCGTGAAACGCGTATTCCGGCCAGCAGCAGTCCAGCACCGAGAGCTTTCCTTTAACCTCTGGTAGAATTAAGTAAGGTTGACTATCCAGATAGTTCCAACTAAAGTTGTAGTCGTTGTGATGTACCTTGTCATTCGGGTCCAGCGCAGTCGAATAATCCACAACAAACTGTTATAAACGTGGTTTAATTTAAGGACATCTTTCTTCCTTATTACTCTGACCCCACTTGTTTCCGAGAACCCTGTCAATATACACAGGACATACTTCTGCTTAGACAAGGATAAGATTGCGATGATACAAGCCTCCCATCTGTATTTTGAATGTATGTAATCAAGAGTACCTGTTCAGGATTAGGCTGAATCTGTCTGGATGGTGGCTGCAACTAAATTCAGGTATTATGTGATGGTATTCAATATGTAACCAAAGTAGGAATCTTGGCTGCTTTTTTATATTCAGGTTGGGAATAGGGGGAGGAGTTCTTTAAGATTTTTTTTTCTAAATTAGTTTGCTTTGGGAAGCCAGCCCTCCTGCCTTTTGTTTTTTTTAAAATCATTTTCTTCTGGATAGGATTGGAAATGTTGCATCACTTTTAAAGCAAATAATCTCCTTAAAGGTTCATATAAAGTATTAGCATTTCACACACAGAAATAAGGCCACTTAAAATTTGCCAGGTTTGGAGGCGTGATGAGAGTGTGTTCCAACTAGCATGCTATTGTTTCCATTACATTAATGTGCAAAAGTTTATTAATCCAGCAATTTTTGCTTCTCTGTGGGGGTTAGAGATTAGAGTAAGTGTTTTAGAGTTCACAAATAAATGCATTTTTCTCTCAGGGTTCTCTGTTAATGCAAGTTAACAAAGGAGATTTTTGTCTTAACAGAATCAACCTTTAATATAATCTAAATATGTTTAAGGTGGTTGGACCAACTTATATATTGCTTTCCAGTTCTCACATTGACCATCTGTTTTCTTCTGATACCTTAGGTTTACCAGAGATAATAGTTTATAGTTTATATATAGTTTATAACTAGCATATTGTTTATAGCCATGTTTTGCTGGATAACCACAAGTGGCTGGCTTTGTACAACACAAACCATTATTTACAAACAGTAATAGATTCATTTAATGTGATATGGTGAAACCAAACCCACATGATGTCTTATTACAGGGTTAGGCAAATGTTTTGGGCCAGGACCTTATTTGATATTTTATAAATATTCAAATAGCCATAGAAAATATATTCAATATGCGAATAACATTTAATTTAATTTAATTTATCGCATTTCTATGCCGCCCAACTCCCAAGGGACTCTAGGGTATGATCAATTTCAGAGCAATCGATTTCTAGAATTCCATTGTTTTCTCAGGCTGTTCTGTTTAGTGTGGATGGATCTTTGCGAGGACAACATGCATTCTTGCAGCATGCCAAATTTCTATTTTTTTTAAAGTTAAAATATTTTTTTTAAAAAGAAATCCAGGTTGGAGAGGAAGAAACAGGGGCGGGTTTCAAAACCCATCACTACTGGTTCGCTTGTGGGTGTGCTTGTGCACACGTGTGATGCTTCTGCGCATGCGCAGAAGTGTCCAGGCAGGCGGGCGGAGCCTGCCGCCACTGCTACGGGTTCGCCTGATCTGGGGCGAACTGGTAGCAACCTACCACTGGGAAGAAAGCCAAGTGATTACAAAGACAGCTTTCTGAATGCACATTAATATCTATGATAAGCATGTTGCTTATCTTTTGATTTAAGACTCTTATGCAAACTGAGTTTGCTTTTGAAAAATGTTTTCTATAATTATATCATGCTGCTTCAAATGTATTTGGGAAAATGGAGTTCCAAAAATGCTCTTTGATGCTTGATAGTTTAAGCAAAACATTATCATGTTATTTTAAAATTCTAGTTGTCTTTTATTGAATTATATTTCCAATAAAAATATAAAGGTTGTTGATAATTGGGTAATTTATTTATTAAATTTATATGCCACCAATCTCACTATTGAGCAACTCTGGGCAGCTTACAGTATCACAAATCAATTAAGGTTTAGAAACTATTCCCCCAACACAGATTTACGTTATAATTACCGGTAATCTTTAAGAGAGTACTAGATTTGTTTTTGTCAGTTCTTCAAACATCATATTCAGTGTAAACGTCTTAAAAGACGTTTCCCTGGGTCTGAAAAAAAAGGTTGTGTTATGTTTTTTGCTCTAAATTGACAAACCAATGCAAAGCTATTTATTTTTCCTGTTTGGAGGTGAAGATCAGAGTTATAAATGCAGTTTTATGGCAGCCAACACTTATATGTGATAAATTAACCAGTTACATTTGGAAATATGTCCAAAGCTAAATCTTCTTGCTATTACTGGTTTCTCCAAACTGCTAAAACTAAGATCTTATTTACTATTTATGAATTTATTTTATTTTATTATTATATTTATTTTAGTTTTTGCTTTATTTCAAATCTTGTAGTGTTTTACCCATATGTCTTCTGCCAAGCAGAAAACTAACCACTTGTTTAATTAAAAATGCAAGAATATTTTAGTTAAATTGAGGCTATAACAGTTGCTGTTGGACATGTAGTTTGTTCATGCACTGAGTGTGAAAAGCAGGCGATATAGCAATAGAAACCAACTTGCTTGGCAAGGGTGCCCCTCCCATTGTGCCATCTATATGAAAAGCAGTGAGCTTTCCAAGCTACGAGTTTGTACTGTCTAAAAGTATTGTTGGGCACTTGCTTTGGTGTTCAGAGCAATGAAAAAGCTATTCCTGTGATTTGACTTGTTTACCAGCATCCAGCCCCTAAATGTCTCTATTCCTCTTTCTGCTCCTCCTTTGGGAGAAAATCTATGCTACAGCATCCATCATCAGCAACAAAAGTCTGCTGTTAATGCCTGAGATCCCAATTTTGCGTTTTGGAATTGTAATTATAAATTGTTCTGTAACTCCACCTTGGATAAAAGATATAAATAAGAGACTGACCTGCATGGGACACAATGTTTGTGTACACGGCTATTTACATCAGGCCACACCACTTGATATTATTAAATCTGCCAATCTTGAGGCCTGTTAAAAACAGGACGTGTAAGGTATGAGAAAGTAGCCCTTTTCTGTAATAGTCCCCACTTTATGGAATGCTTTACTTCCATAAGTACATGTAATCCCCATTCTTTGTACAATTCCATAAACAGGTTGAAATTGTTTTATGCCTTTTGGATTGCAGTTGCCTATCTGGGGGTTAATCTTTGGTTTTTTTATGGTTATTTTTGAGTTTTGATATTGATTTATTTATAGTTAACATATTTTTGGTTTTCTTGTCGATGAAGTCCTTTGCAACTGACACAGTTGTATGGCAAGAATAAATAATTCTTGCACATGCTTTGGTATATAGTTGATTTAAAAAAATCTCTGATTTAGAATAGGTTTAATGCAGGAGATGCCAATGATGTTAATTCTTTGGTATCTCCTGCATTAAATCTTACTCTAAATCAAAGATTTTTCTATCATCTAGCTGCCTATGTGCTTTCTGCCTTTACTACCCTTTTATAGAAGGAAGAAAAGTACTTTATTGGCCATATGAAATACAAGTGATAAGTTATAACTAAATCATTTTGTAAGTTTTTAAAGCACTGCTTGATCTTCCACGGTATTTATTATTCTTAGGTTACATTTCTCCTGACACACAGTACCAATTCTCATTCCAGCTGCTGGTTGAGATAAGGCTTTCTGTAACTGTGCCAAGAACAGGCAGTATATCAGCTCTTATCCTTTGATGGAATGAGTGAATGTCTGAAAGTGAATGTAGGACGGAACACACACAGCAGTTTTAAAAGTTTCAAACAAAAGTTTTACTATTGTATTTTCTTGCAGAATGATTTTTTCTAATTAGATATACAGTATATTAAATCCTCTGTAGGTAGCTCAGTAAAGTATTGCCATTAGGTTTTCCCTATTAGTTATTAGGTTTTTGTACTTGAATATAATAACAGAGCCAAGTGTATTGTCCTGTTTTAATTGTCAGTGTGACCCAAGATAATCTTAAAAGAGAAAAGTTACCCTTCTTCAAAATACTCCAAGCACATAACTTCTATTAGAAAGTAACCAAAGTTACCATTTTGAAGCTGATATATGTAAAACTTGATAATTCTCCCAAGTCCTTGCAAACCTAGTTACTGTAAGCACTTTGATGCCAAACTGGGGATGTAGATAAGAAGGCCTTTTATACTTTTTCAGTTAGATAATCAGATTACCTCTATTCAGAAGTGATCTCTTTTTTGCTGCTGGAATGCATGAAGAAAAGGACATTTAAGATGTCTTTGTTTAAGATGCTTTGTTTTCAGGTTTTCAGGCTATTAGAAATCTCATAATATTAGGAAATGATTATGTATCAGAGTCAGCAGGCAGCATTGTATAATTTCACTCTACAGTGTGATTGCTATTTTTTAAAAATATAATAATAAAAATGCTCCAAATTTTATATCATTAAGAAATGAAAATCTCAATAAATGCTAGCAATTTAAAATTCTGTAAGTTAAAAATGTTGAAATTGGGTTTTAAGGATTTGAAGTTATGATATCTGCTCCCCCCATTTTGAGCACTTAGTAACCAAACCGCATTTAGGGCTATTTGCAGTGCCCCACAGTCATGTGACTATACTTTATGTTTTTACCAGAAATTGGTATTTATTTCTGGTTTCTGGCCAAGTCTGCCCCCTAGTGAACAATCATTAATGCTTAATGACTGGCACTTAACAAGTGCAATGTTTGCTTAATGACTGGCACAAAAAAAAATAAATTCAGGCATGGTCACAGAGTGATCGACTTTATGACCGCCACGACTTACGACCAAAATTTTGAACTCATTACAGTCATATGTTGAGGACTACTTGTACTTGTTAGCTGTTTTCAGCTGTTGCCTGTTCCTGAGATAATTCTGATAAACTTTGATTTGTGTATGTTGGCAGCAATTGAGAAAGAGGCGGTCTTAAGACATGCCGTATAAGTCCTCATTTGGACAACTTTTAAGAGTGACTGTTTCCCGCTAGTGATAGGAATTCTATATTATGGGAGCCTATCTGACTACTATATCTTTTATCTGAGATTTCTTGCTATTGGAAATTGCTGCCTGAGACCTAAAGGCAGATCTTATTTTTATCTCCTGCCCAGATTATGTAACTGGGAGGATCAGTCTCCTTCCTGTTGACTTTTTCATGTCTAAGCCTAAGCTTTTGATCTTTTTTTACTGTATTGCTATGGGTTGCTTTAATTGTCTTGTTTTTAGCTGTTTCATGTGATTATGTGCTGAATTATACTGTTTTAACTTGTAATCATAAATTGCTTTTAACAGTCTCAAGGGATAAATTATTTTATATTCCTTATATTAGCCAGTAAGGTCTTTACTCAAGGGAATCCTAACAATAATTCATGTCGTAAATCTGTATTATTTTCAAACGTGGCAACTTTAAGATGCGTGGACTCCCAGAATTCCCTATCCCAGAATTCCCTATCCAGAATTCCCAACTCCCAGAATTCCCTATCCAGCATGTTCTAAATCAGGGGTGTCAAACTGGCGGCTGTGGGCCAGTTGCATCATGCGCAGGCCACGCTCACCCCAGCTCTGTGAGGAGAAAACATTGTGAAACATCACATGATGGCAACGTGATGCCACAAGTTTGACATTCATGTTCTAAATTCTGCTCTGATACATCAGTATAGAGTAACGTTCTGTTTATGTACACTTCTCTTCCCTATTTTCCCCAAAACTTCTATGTTTTATATTTCATTACATCTCTTAATGCATCTCCAAGGCTATTATATATATTTATATATATTTAAAATATAGTTTTCTGTTTCTATGCATAATTCTGTTCCATGTGATTGGAAAATGCATTATAATGTATAACTTGCCTTCAAATTTAATCATTAAGGTAGATTGTAAGAAAACATTAAGAAATTTAAAATTGTAGATCATAATCTTACTTTAACTTTCATTGGCATAGCTTTATGCTGGAGAGTGGTTAGAATCTGAGAGAATTCTTTTCAAATGTCTGCAGGTATCGTATTTTCTGAAAATTTTAGAAAACTGTTAGTCTGGCAGAATATCAGGTCTGGTGTATCTTTTCAGATTAAGAAATTTTGCTAAAAGACATAAGCTTTCATGAGAGAAAGTTGACTGTTTCCCTATGACTATCATTAAGTGTTGTACCTTATGATTCTTGAAGAATGTATCTTTTCTTTTATGTACTCCAAGAGTATATGCACCAAGACAAATTCCTTGTGTGTCCAATCTCTTGGCCAATAAAGAATTCTATTCTATTCTATTCTATTCTATTCTATTCTATTCTATTCTATTCTATTCTAGTTTGTAGACTATGCAATTTATGCATTTGATAAAATGAAGCAGTTCATGAAAGTTTATGACTTTTAACAAAATTTGTTAGTTGAAAAGATGCTTGTCAGACTTCTGATTTTGGATGCTTCTGAAGTCTGATGCTTATCAGACTTCTTGCAGTAATAGTAGTAGTTGCACATAACAGTTCAGCATAATCTGTTTTAAAACTAGGTGTGGGATTATTTTTAGGTGGGGAAGGATTTAAAACATTGACATCCACCTACAATCTGAAATGGTATTACGTCATTAAAATGTTCAATTATCTTTCATCACAGGATGTATTCTATTTTTGAAACATTTAATTGTTTTCCCCATGGGCAAGTCAACCAACACTTTATTCTTTGTTTTGCATTGACTTGCAAAAGCTATTTTATCTAGCTTTAGCAACACAAGCTTGCTGTTTGCACTTTTTTGCCTGCTAACCACTAGGGGGTGGTCTGTTCCTGGTTTAATGGAGAGAACATCTTTAATCATAAATTGTTAAGTTAAAGTGTTCTAGAAACTCTCTCCTCCTGGGGCACCCACCTTTTTAGAGGTAGAATTCATCCTTGTTCTTTGCCTGAGCTGAAGAGTGATATCACTGCCTTTCTCCCTGTTGCACTGTAGTTGCTTGAGTCACAGGCTTTGACACAAGCCAGATGGCTGCAATTGGTAGGCGTGCAGGCTGCCTGGTGCTACAGTTGATGAAACAGAATAGGAAGACCTTTTATGATCAGCTGCTGGAGCCCAGTAAGACTACAGCTTTGCTAGGTAATTACATTTTCACTGCACACTTCTCTTTCTCAAAGTGAAAATACATTTTTATTTGCTTGCTTGGAATGTGTAGGCTTTTTTTATTAGTTGACCGCCTTCTCCAAGGGAATGGTTTCTGTGCATGATTAAGAAACCGAAAATCATTGTGCAAATCGTTCATCCAAATTACATCTTTAATCCTTTTTTTCAGGCTATTGATTTCAGGCTATTGTGGTGTTTATCTTTTCTTGCTCATTATTGTCTCCACGTCTGCTTCTATAAACATTTGGCTCTTGTACTTTGAAATAATTTAATCCAAGTAGTATTTTATTCAGATACACTCTAAAGCAAATTAGTAATTCAAGATATAATGAAAAATATATAGCATGAAACAAATTGAGGGATGGGGATGGCACTCCACATACCCATCCAGTACAGAGATTTGGACCTAAAGATGTATAATCAGAAGACCATCTATGCAATAGATTCCTGCTGTTTTTTCCCCAGAAATCTTCCCCAGAAGTTTTTGAGTAAACTTGTGGTAGATGCATAGGCTTCTGTACTATAATCAATATATTGATTTCCAGGAAATTTTTAAAAAGTCCAGAGCAGCAAAATAAGTAAATAAAATAATGCTTTAATTATTCCTTGCCAGCAAAAAAGATTCCAGCTGCTAGTCTGCTCACAGCCAGTCAGGGACAGTTGTCAACAGAAAATAAACTGGTTGGGCTAGCCCAACAAGCTGTGCTTTCAAGATGTATGGGCACACACAGTGATGTCACTATGAATACTGCACCTTTCATCAGTATCATATTGCAGACACAGAAAGAAGGAGTTTATGTTATGATGTCATGCCAGGTACAGCCTATTCTGCTTTGTTGCTGACACTTCTGGGCAGATGAACTACAGTTGGAATGTGATCTGATCTACTATTGTTGGCATTTACTGATATTATTCTAGTGATTTTTTTTAACAGTCTTAGGCTGATTGTTGTATAGCAAGTTCAAGCTGAAGATACTCAGGTCACAGAACAGTACAAATGCAGGGTAAAAAAAGTTAGCTGCTTAGCTGGTAACAAGGCAGCTGCTGATCCCTTATCAATCACAGCTTGATAATGGAGGATTTTGGAATATCCTTTAATGTGTAGAAGGAAAAGCGTAACAAAAGTAATAATATAGCAAGGAAACAAAGTAAACAAATAGACAAGTATAAACAATTTTAGTATCTCTTCACTCCCTAATAGCTTAATGCAATCAAAGTCCACTGAGGTTTACCAGAAATAACATCTTAACCTTGATCAAATAAACTAATTTTATATTTCTTCTTTGTCCCTTCTCATAGTATTCCTCAAAACTTTAACAAGCCTCTTTTGTAAATCCTGTCTAAAAAAACATTCAGGTCACTCTTGATATATTATTGGTTTATAGCAGCTTTGCTGTTTACAGTGCCTATAAACCATATTTCTGTACTGATTTGGCTTGGTCAATTATCCAATAAAAATTAGCAAGAGAAATTGATAGCACTTCCAAATAATATTTTTTTATATATATTATTTGATATATATTAATTTTTGATATAAATATAGTTGAAACTTTGTAATGCATTCTATTTTGAACAAACATTAAAGTAGATGGGTACAGCACAAGAAAATGTATATGATTCTGGCACAGTGTACTTGTCCACTAGATCAGGGGTTCCCAACCTGTGGGCCGCAGTCCACTACTGGGCCACGGGCTAATCGCCACTGGGCCGCATGAGTGCCCGACCGGTGCACGTGCCTCCAAGTGTGCACACCACCCCATCAGCGTGAGCCTCGTCGCAGGAGCTTGCAGCCCCACTCACATGAGCCTCATCGTGGCTGCATTCACACAAGCCTCATCGTGGCCCCATTTGCGCAAGCCTTGTCATGGGTGCTTGCAGCCCCACTCAGGCGAGTGTCACTGCAAATGTTGCAGACACTGTACTTGTCCTTCCCACGCACATGCACTTGCCCCTCCCACAAAATCATCCCCTCTTTCCTCCCTCCCCCGCTCCAGGCTGCAGACCCAGAAAGGTTGGGGGAATTCTGCACTAGATGTTTCTGATGGGTTCTCATCTTTGTTACCTTCATTATAAATTGTTTTAAAAATATGTAACTCAGCAAGTGGTCATTATATAGAACAGCTTTAATATGGGCCTCTCATATATCTTTCCTTAGATTGATTTTATCCATTCTTTTGAAGAGTTCAGTCTAATGCACATGGAGTTCTTTTTCATTTATAAAGAAAGGTTTTGCTGCATGCATAGTTGAAGAGGGTATTATTAAAAATTCAACTACTTTAAGGTACTAATTGTTTGTGTAATAGTAAGTTCCCTATTTTTAAAACTTTTAGAACTTAGATGCAAATTAACTATAAAATAATAAATGAATGAACAAAATACCATGTTTCTTTCTAAAATTTTTATGTGATCATTTTCAAATCATTTTCTTAAAATAATTGTGTATATGTTTTTGTAAATTGCTTTATTTCTTGGGAATAATTGCTAGATTGTTGTATAAGGAATGAGAGGAACTTATTTAATACTTGAATTAAATGTATTTGTATTATTAAGCTTGTATGTTTCCTTTCAGAAAAAAGTCATAATCATCATTTTTGCTATGAATGTATCTGATTTTTTGAAGTTTTAATTTCATTTTCATCTTTTTTTTCCCCTTACTCAGCTCTTGCCCCTGTTCTTTGCCTCTGGTTGTGTTGGTGACGATATTACAGTGATGTCTGCATTCAACCTACTGCATTTGGTGACAAAGAGCCAGCCAGTGGCCCTGCAAGCCTGTGGGCTTCCCTCAGGTTGACTGGGTGCTACTTGTGGTTATGCATATGGAGGTTCTTTCTACTAGAGTAGGCATCTCTGCTACAGGAAATAATATTTATTATTTATTTATTTATTTATTAATGAGATTTATATGCCGCCCTATCTCCAGCCGGACTCAGTGCGGCTCACAACCGTAAAAAACATCTAATGAAAAAGTTAAAAAGAAATTAAATCCAAATCTCATAATTTAACAGTTAAAAGTGCAATTAAGACTAACAAGTTAAAAATTAAAACCCCATCAGTCAGTATCAGTAATAGGCTGTGGTTTGCTAAGGAATCAGCTTTTTAAAGCCAACTAAGCTGAAAGTCTTTCAAACTATTGTATATCACTGTTTTTTTAAAACAATAATTGGTAACAAGGTTTAGCATTTTAGCTTCTATATTATTTAGTTCATAAATAAATAGGCACTTTGCTTTCTTTAAATATAACAGTAGTCTTAAATAATCTAGCACTATATTTTTATCAAGGGATACTATAATCTGGTGAGGGGCAATATATTTGATCTCAGGAAACATTCAGTGCCATTTTAGGAAGAAGAATAACAAATCAATTGAAGGCAAAGTTCTTACAAGGTGTTGCAAATGAAAATTTTCTTGTAAAATTATGTACTAATTTAGCCCACTATTTTGCTGTATTTCCACAATTTTTGGTCATAACTTTATCTTCGTATATGTTAGTTCTGCAAATCAAGCAGAAACTTTGAAATGCAAATGATAGCGATAAATAATAGTGCTGTTCAACATATTCATAAAGGGTAATCCAAAAGCACATTGGTGCATGTGAAGAATCACTCTTCAAAATATTGATGCAGCCTTAATTTCTGGAAGGCTTGTCATGGTTTTGGAAGCTTTCCCTCAATTTGCATGTCTGCGAGCATATATAGACAACATTTCCACTTGGACTACCAGTGAAGTAGCAAATAACATTTTTCTACCATGTTATCATGTTTGCAGTTCCAAATAAAAGTATGATATAAGAGTTCACTAATGGTGGAAGGAAAACAGGCAACATGTTTCACAGCAATAGAAAAAGCTCTCATCTATTTTATTTGTCAAATCTTTATGATGCCCATCTTCCCTACAAGGCGACTCTGGATGGCTTATAAGTTATAAAACAAGTAAAAAATAATTAAAACATTAAAATCTACATAGATTAAAATATTATTAAAAACAGTACCAAAACTGAAATTAAGGGAGCTAAGAGATGATTGAGATGGGGATGAGATCTTTTTACCCCATCAGCCACCTTTAGTGGTGAGCACTCCTTCAGGGCCCCAGACTAAGCAAAGTCAGGTTTTAATACTTTTAATTTAATTTAATTAATTCAATTTATATGCCGCCCCTCTCTGAAGACTCAGGGCGGCTCACAATACATTTTAAAAAATCATTATTAAAAAAACATTTAAAAATTAAAAACATTAAAAACTCATTCACGCCATTCATGGCCGAATCTCACCAGATCACAAGAGCGAGATCAACGGCCCCAGGCCTGCCGGAAAAGTCAGGTCTTCACCGCTTTTCAGAAGGCCAATAGGGTGGGGATGGTCCGGACCTCAGGAGGTAACTGGTTCCAGAGAGCTGGGGCAGCCACAGAGAAGACCCTCCCCCGCGGGCCCGCCAGCTGGCATTGTTTAACTGACGGGACCCGGAGGAGACCAACTCTGTCGGATCTTACCGGTTGCTGGGAGCTATGCAGCAGAAGGCGGTCTCGAAGATAACCTGGCCCTGAGCCATGTCGGGCTTTAAAGGTAATAACCAACACCTTGAATTGTGACTGGAGACCAATAGGGAGCCATTCTTCCAGAATGCCAAAAGAGAGGGGGCAATTCTCACCTCTTGGGGTAAAATGTTTCACAGTGTTTGGCCCACAGAAAAAAGACACTTCTTCTTGACCTCGCCTGCTTCAATTCCTTAGCAGACAGGATCCATAGAGGGTCTCTTCTGTTGGCACAAGTGGAATGGGCTTGTCCCATTGGGGAGAGATGGCTTCTCAGATACCCTGCATCTCCTCTTTATGATATAGTCATAAAGGCAATTTATTCAGAGATACTGGAACTGATTACTGACGTGGCCATGAAATTGGCTTAGGTAAGCACAATATATATTATTTATATATTTACAGTTTTTGAACTATCAGTAAGACATTAAGAATATATTTAACCATT